TACTCGTTGTATTGCAGTTGGATTCAAAGCACTGGTAGGTATGTTAAAGGAAATGGTCTCAGCAACACTGGCATCAGGACTTCTAGCAGAACATGATGACTGTGCTGGTGTACTGTCATTGGCAGGGTTTTTAGGTTCTCTTGTACTGCTGTCATACACAAACTGTTCCAACTCAGGCTCAGGTCTTGAGGATTCACTTTCTGGAAACATCAATTCTGAAATTTTTTGCAGCTCACTGTGAAGTACTTCCCGCAGAGTCCTTCCACTGTCTTGAGCAAGGGCTTGCAGATTCTCAAAGTATGCCTCAGTAACATTGCTATGTGTTGCAGGCATGTACACACTCTCCAAGCTGCGCACATGAAAGGCCACATTAGTGTCTAACTTACTTTTGATGGTCATAGGCAATAAACCCTCCAAGTGCTGCATAGCAGAATCACAAGAGAACTCCACAATGGCACATTGGTGATACTCAGAGTTGGGATCATCAATAATTAGGTTGCGCTTTATAGATCCATATTTGACTAAGCAGGTTTCCACTTCTTGGTCTGGATCAGAATGGGTTAAGCCACTCACAATGACTGCCCTCTTGATGTTAACATTCTCGTGTTTCACTATTTCCATGGTTGAATATCTGCACAGGGAAGGGGGACTAATTTTTACGCAATTGTTTTATCCTTATTGTGTTTATCTGATTTATAACTATTACACTAAGCTGTATATTTTGCTCCTGGCTGGCTCGCCAGGTTTTATGTAACACTACCCTAGTGTGGCTCCTATTATATATGTTAACTAGTGTATTTTTATAACGGAGACCAACGCTAACAATTAGAATTCTTTTTGGACCAGAGTTTAAAGGTAAGATTCGACTCACTGGAGCAAAAGAACAATACTTATAGTGATAATAGTGTAATCTAATTTTAGGATTAATAAATGAATCATATAATTCACAACAAATAAATTAATGCAAAATATGTTGTATTGTTTTGCTTAATGCACTTTTGAGATTTTAAAAGAAAACAAATAAAACCAATATAAAACAGTATAATACAATAGAAAATGTGAATAGTAAATTCAACAACAAACTGCTATTAAAATAAATGCAAAGTTCAGTTTCAAAGTTCCAAACAATCCCTAAATTTCAGATTTCAAAAGCAGAGTCTTTGTTAAAAGTAAAGATGAACTTTCAATATAAAGTCTTTGTTTGAAGTCAAAGTGTCCAGTTAAATGTCTCCTTTCAAAAATTTGGACGAAGAAAAAAAACAGTCCAAGGAAAAAAATATTTAAATTGTTCCCATGAAAAATATCCTTGTAGAAAACACGAGGAGAGAAAAAAACAACTCTCTTAACAAATTAGTTTGGTCCTACCAGATCAGCAGATTTCACTCTCTTTTACTTAGTTCAGGCACGTATCAGTAGGATGGCTCGCCAGTCCAGACCAGAATATGAATATCCAGCCAGGACGATCTCAGGATGATCGTTCTCAACCAAGAACAACACCGGCAGTAGTGAGGAGGACAAAAAACACATACAAAAAAAAAAACCCGGCCTTGTAACCACAAAGCCAGAATAAACATTAGTGTCAAGTATCTAAATAAACCAGTTAAAATTAAATAAATTGTCTGTTACAATCAATTGTGCATTGATAAAACATAACAGCTAATCACACTGCTAATGCACAGTGTTAGCAAGGCTAGCACCGCATGGCGTGCATGTCTCTTTAAGAAATGAGTACTTTCAATACAAAATATTTTACAGAGATGTAAACACAATTATAAACACTAGAAATATTATGTAGGATTCTTTTAAAAGCAATTTTAAGAGTAATTTTGAAAACATTTACAAGAATTTTGGTTTTTTACTACTGTTTCACTTTACAACCCAACATATTCACAATAAAATATTAATAAATTTCTCATAAAGGCATTGGTACTCACCAAAGACAGTAATTAGTGAAGGATAAAGTTGAATCAAGTCTATTTTGTCAGTTTTCTATTGATGTACTATCTCTCAACTGGTTGTTAGATCACTAGCTCTCGACTGCTCGTTAGCTCTCCAGCTCTCATGTGCTCGTTAGCTCTCGTGTGCTCGTTAGCTCTCCAGCTCTCGTGTGCTCGTTAGCTCTCGTGTGCTCGTTAGCTCTCCAGCTCTCGTGTGCTCGTTAACTCTCCAGCTCTCCTGTGCTCGTCAGCTCTCTAGTTCTCACTGCTTGTTAACTTAATATTTCTCTAGTTCTCTCGGTTGCTTGTTAGCACTATATCTCTAGTTCTCTCGGTTGCTTGTCAACTTGCTACCTCTCTAGCTCTTGTTTGTTTGTTGGCACTATCTGCTTGTGCTTTCCGTCGCATGTGCGGGGGCGGAGCTAACTGCTCACTTCTCCAATCAAGATCAGGTATGAAAATATTTGTTAATACCTTTAATTACACAGCGATCTTTCTGCTTTTTATTCACTTATTATTAGAGTATAAATAATAAAATAATATAAATAAATAATAATAATAATAATAATACTTTCTAAAATGATTATTAGTGACCTAGATTTATGATCTGGGTTACATATATTAATGCAACAAAAAAAAATCTTCCTTTTCCTGATGTAAATGCTTTTTAAAAAGCCTGTCTTGACTTCATTTGGGGAAATGTTAATTAGAAAGAGATGTCCATAAAAAGTCAACTTAAAAAGTATTTTCCATTTCCCATATTCTACCACAGGGCTTGGTGACAGAATATTATCATATTTAAGATCAATTTGAAAACAAATGGGTTTTTTTTTAAAGAGATGCCAATTAGATATATTAGGCTTTTATTTTGATATATATTAGTGATTTTGGTCTATACTGTATGACTATTTCAGTTTATAACGAGAATAGGGACAACACTAAACAAATTGCTAAAAACTTTCTATGTATCAATTTCTGCTCCTAATTAGAACACAGCAAACATATAAAGCAAGCTTTGAGCCGTGCTGCTAATATTTATCAAGCAATAAAAATCCCCTTTCCTTAGGCCAAAGCAACGAGTCTGTGAAGGACTGCTGAGAAGAATTTTACCGTAGAATGACATGACAGTCATTTATGACATTATTGGTGCAACCCAATCTATATACCAGTGTACTATTCAAGCCGCTTTCAACATGTCTGAATAGTGTTTACAGGACAATCTTGCAAGAAACCTACATTTTCACTTGTAAAAAATGGGACAGGGCCTGAACTTTAAGCTTGTCTTCCTGAAAAAAATCATACAAAAACAAGTATAAAATCATACAATTCATTGATAGAATGCATCCTTAATCACTGTCAGCTTCTCCTCTGTCAAATGATGTCACTTGATGACACAAATGATGTCACTTCCTCAGTCATAACCTTAAAAAATGAATGCAATTGTGACAGGACTGACAGAAACAGTAGTATTTTTTTGTAGAAATTATTTATGATTTCATGTTTTTAATCAATTACTGTGAATTATAACAACTTAAACTTAGTTGTTTCTGATTTTTAATTATTTATTTAAAAAAAATATATTATTTATTTATTAAACTTATTATGCACTGTATTTCTGTTTTTATTTCAAGAACAGATAATGCACATTTCTGGAAGAATCTCCCTTACACTGAAAAGATCAAGATAAGATCTATGACTCGAACTTGGGATATACCCGAAGCGCAATGGTTGTTCATGTTGGCCTACTTTCCATGAGGCTATCAGCACCTACATTTATATGATATTTTGAATACATGTACAGCAAAATAAAATGTGAAATATCAATATGAAAATTGCACACTTCTGCCAATGAATTCAGTTTATGTTACTGCTGTAAAACTATAGTAATAGTTTGTGATTTGTGAAAAGAAAAGCATTCTCAACTCAGTTTATTAACTTAATTGTTGCACAATAATTCCGCTGTTTTTCTCTTCAGTGCTGTGATAAGTTTTTGATCAGTTGCTGACAAGTTTTCTAAAATTTGGCGATACATCAAACTCCAGCAACAGTAAACAGACATACTATTTTACCCATTGATGTTTTTCTCTGCTGCAGTGTAAATGTGTCCCGGTGCTGATATATTTTTAATAAATAACATTCTTTAGCACGTTCATTATTAAAATGTGTTGAACTTGTGTTATAAAGACTGTTAAATCATACTGTAATCACATTTCTTTTGTAATGTTTACTCCCAATACTAATGACAAACCTCCTCCATTTGCTCTCATTTACATTACCATTCTATGCATCCTGCCTGTTCTCCATCATTTCTCTTTTCTCTTTTTACAACACTGTAAAAAGCAATAGCTGTTGTCATGAATAAAATCAGGTGCAGTAAACTCATTACGAATAAGTTTGTACACCTTACAATATTTAAACAAGTGATCCCAACTTTTTAGCACATCAAGTTGTTAAACTAAACAAATTCAAGTAATCTTGACTTACACTAATATTTATTTACAACTTTTGAGTGGTCATGTGTCAAAAGCATGTTAATGATAGAGAATGGTGAAGAATTAAAACTTAAGCATAATCAGACATGAGCATAATAAATCTGAGTTTTTTTATTCTTTGATGTTCAAAAGGTATAAATATATTAATATATTATAATATATTAATATGAAACAATTATATAGGCTGCAGGGTGGTGCAGTGGATAGCAAATTTGCCTCACAGCAAGAAGGTTGCTGGTTCGAGCCTCGGCTGAGTCAGTTGATGTTTCTGTGTGGAGTTTGCATGTTCTGCCCATGTTGGCGTGGGTTTCCTATACACACTTAAAATTATTACACTACTTAGAAATTTTAAGGCAATCGGTTTCCTCAATTTTTCGAAGGTCAACTTATAACATATTACAGTGCATGTTGTTCCTTACTTTCTTTTTAAAGCGTTAAAGCGAGTTTAAAGCGTCACTAGCATCAGAATTTTGTCCACGCAGACCACCTTGACAGATCTCACAGCACTGCACTAATCAGATGATGCAACAAGAACATGAAAATAATTATAGCTATTTTAAAGGGTACTTACGTAATATTTGTCATCATCTTCATTGTATGCCAACTTGACAACACCATATGAGCCCTTTAAGAAGCGGATAGAGGAAAAAACATGAGTCAGACTATGAGACTGTGCTGAGGGTCAGAAAGGGTCAGTGTCTGCCTGACTATATGAAACGCAACATGGCCATGGCATTTCACTGGATTGCTTATGCATGTAGACTATACAAATGACACAATATGAGAATGATGTATTATAGGTGCGCTTACCTTCCCAATCTCACTCTTTAACTTGTACTGATTAAGCTGGATGCAGTCCTAAGATTGAGAGATAGAGAGAGAGAGAGAGAGAGATGGGGGGGGGGGTTGTTGGGGGGAGAGAGAGAATTGAATCAATCCCAGCTGCGCACACAAAGGAGCTGTGGCACTATATTAATATATTACACACCAGAGGGAACGTGTAAGCCAGTTACAGGCAGAAAAGACAAATCTCTGCATTTGTCTCACAACCTATTCCACATGGGAAGAAGAGAAACTGAACAGAAGAACAGAAACTATGAGAAAGGATTTAAAAATAACTTTTTGTCCTGATTGACAATGACTGCAATTTCCCACAATGTTACATTTGACAGTTGGCAAAAATTTGGTCTGCTGAAGCCAGTGTATGATTTGGATGTAAAACATTTTGCTCTGCACAAGAAGTTTGGACAGAGGAGAAATGGTTGTGTCCAACTGAGCCGTTTTTTTCCCCCTTAACTTTTGTCAATTCCACCAGTAAAAATGAAATCACACTGAACTGAACTAAACTGAACTTCAACTCTGAAAACTGGATTGACACAGTTTTAATTTACTAGAATGTCTGTGTTAAGCTGCTTTGACACAATCTACACTGAATTTTAAATGTAGACATATTTCCCTCCCAAAATAAATCCTAAAGAAATGTCTTTAAACTGAAGAAAATACCAGTAACATCCCTCATCAACACCAATTGAGATACCACCAGCACAGTAAAGCAAACACTCAGAGGAACAGGAAGAATAACAAAAGCAGAACTAATGCGTTAAAAGAGGAAAAAACACATTGGAAGAGGAACATCACTGAGAATATAATGACAGATAATGACACATAAAAAACACATGCATGGATTTTACACAGATACTTGTATTAAAATAGTTCTTATTTAACCAATGCACATTGCCAATTTTGGAACTAGTTAAATAAAAAGGAATAAGAGGTAAAAAGTTGACAGAGTGAGAGAGAGAGAGACTTTACTTTTAAACCCCTTTTTATTATAAAAAATTTCTCAAAAAAAGCAAAAAAACATTACATCTCAAAACAAAAATACATTATTTAAGTTTCTCATTTTAAGATCAGGACCATTACCTGCTGCATTGTGACTATTACCACAAAAATAGATCCACATGCTTCTCCAATGTCTAGATAATTACACCACATTTTATATCTCTAACAAATACAGAAAAATTAAGGCATATCAGAGAGAGAACTCCCATCTGAAAACAACAGCAACAAAATATGTATTAGCCTGTCATAAACACAGAAAGTCAGTAAGTCAGTGAACAAAACTATGTACATATATGTATTATTTTACTATTTTATTCATTATTTTTATTCATTATTCTGTACTATTTTATTAATTATTTATGTAATGTGAAATGTGAGAGAGAGAGAGAGAGAGAGAGAGAGAGAGAGAGAGAGAGAGAGAGAGAGAGAGAGAGAGAGAGAGAGAGAGAGAGAGAGAGAGAGAGAGAGAGAGAGAGAGGAAAGTTAGACTCCTGGCACATGCTCAGTGAGTCCTGCACTGCAGTAAAACCTCCACCTGCACACACAAACAGATGGTCAAAACTTTGCAAGTACCAAGAGCAGAGGACAGTACTTTAGCTAGAAATATATTCAAAACTATTTTGATGGATCTTTTTGAATTTATTAAAACATTTCTGATGAAGCGAAACAAAAATTTTAGTTGATACCGATAGGTCACAAAATACTTTTGTGATATGGTCAATAACTTACACTATTTCACTATACACTATTGGGTGTAAAACATGAATGAAATGAAAATGAGTAATACTACTTACATTACTTATCAAATATTCATCATGCTATTCATTCTTTTCATTCCTCAATAATTCATACTGTCACGGTCTCAACAATGAAGAACAATAAAGCCCTTACATGAAGCAAATTACATGAATATTTCATAGTAATCTACACTTGCCTATATCTAAAATTGTTTGACTTACAGGCTCTATGCACAGTAATACTATTTACTATTCACTATAATACTATTCCATTTAATATTTTTATTATCTACATTACTAGCCAATTAGCCAAATTATAAGAGCTTTGCATATTACAAAAAAAAGATAAATATTTAATTTCTTAAATATTTTATTTATTGTTTGCGATGCAAATTTAATTAAATCCACTTTATTTGGTAAACAAAATAAGTCTCTCAAATAATATATCTACTAAATGACAGAAAATATTACTTTACAAACTGTATTGTAAATAAATCATAAAAACCTTTTCATATTAATCAATAATACTACTGTAATTCATTTATAAACTGAATAAATATAAATTTTCACAAATAAATAACACAAGCAAAAATCATTGATGGGCTAAAAATCTTCGGAATTCTGTGAAATTCTGCTCAAGCAGATTCGGTGTGGGCCTACCCATAACTCATTAAAAGAACAAGCACAACGCTGTTAGACCATTTTTCCATTCTTAAAATAGCAAATTAAAATAGTATTCTTAAAATAAAAAAGTGAATTTGGACATGCCCTTAATGCTTTTGCATCACGCGCTTTAGACTTTGCGCCTAGATCATTACAATAGAGCCAATAAAATTTGTATTTTTGTATTTTTTTTATTTTTGTATTTTTAGTTACAGCATGGGATAGTTCTTTTTTCTTGTTCATGTTGTCTCTCAGTCATGTAAATCGAAATTGTGATGTATAACTGGTGGGTTCTAAAAAAAAAAAAGGCATAACGAATTAATTTGCTTTCTGTCTAAGCTAAAGTTCCTTTCCACACACAAGCACAGGTTTTCCAGGCTGCTAATGCTATTGTGTAGCATGTAGCATCAGGTAACACTTCATAAACTACAGAGCTCATGTTGCTCTACATATGAAGGACTCGTGGAGTCAGATCACATCTGAGCTCTGTCACAACAAATAAATGCCATGTCTACTTCTTGTCAAGACAGAGACACATCCTGAGGCAATAAGAACTGAAGGATTGCAAACAGAGAGAATGAATGACAGAGCAATAGACAGGGTTAAAAAAGTTCAAAGAGAGTTTTCACAGAAGGAAAGGAAACGTTTAAGCATGACAGTTGCGGATTAGCACACAGGGTCAGTTTTCATTTTGGTTCTCTTCCAGGTTGGTCCTTTTTTCTTGTTAAACCCGGATTAGACTGGATGATCTTGGCTTTAAGAGCGATACAGCATATTGTGCATTCAAATGTTATACTGCGATAACATCTGGATCACAAGGTGTAAGATGTGTAGGTCTGTGAGCAAGCATTTACGAGAAAGGGCACGAGTACATTATGGACAAAGGTGAGTGACGGAAAAAGTTAAATCGAACAAAATGGAAAAGGGCAAAAGGGAAAAGGAAACTGAGAAAAGTATAAAGGGAATGCTCGTAAAAGCCAGAGAGGAAGAGAAATATCCTGCGATGTGAAAACCTGACAGTCAATTGCTTTGACTGCTGCATGTTCCCTAAGCAAAAGCACCTCACATTACAGTTCACACTTCAGCTGGAGTGTCAAGGAGAAGAGAGGAGTGGGTATATGACAGCTGTCTGAAGTCTGAGCGGGGAAACCAGACAGCTGTTCTTTAAGAAAGAGGAAACAGTTGAGACGTGACTGGAGGAGGAGAGAGACGGTAAAGGAGAGACAATGAGAAAGGAAAAGATGGGAACAAAATATCTCAACCTCAAAAATGAATAAATAATTTCAGATTTAAAGGGTAACTGCTAAATTTGATATGTACTGTATATCTTATATCAGTGGTTCTAATGTTGAGGTATTTGTATTAATGCAATTGAAAAATTGTATATCTATAGTTGTTAATTACTGTAATTTACAGTTAATAATTTGCATCATATACATCTAGACCTCAATATAACAGATTATGTAACTCGTCCCATCCTGCAAAAGGAATAGTTCACCCAAAAATGAAAGTTTACTCACTATTTACCCTCTAGTAGCTCCAAATCTTTATAAGGGTTTTATTCAGTTGAACATTAAAGAATATTTAATGAAAGAAAGCTGAAAACCTGGAACCAATGACTTCCATAATAGAAAAAACAAATACTATGGATGTCAATAGCCCCTTTGACACATATACAGTGGGTGACACTTTAAAATGAACATTACTGCCGTGCCTTGTGCTAAAGTAAGAACATGTTTTTAGGTATAACAGCAGTTTGTGATCATGCCGCCAGGTGGCACAAAGGGATGGGATGCGAACTGACAGAAATGTGCTAGCACATGAACAAATGTACATCTCAAGATGCGAAAATGTTCCTTCATATGTTTACACCGAAGTTGTTCTCAATACTTAAGCATCTGCGGAATTTGTAATGTAGTCAAATGTGTAACCATTTAGCTGTGGTTAGCACTTCTGTCTTTGGATGTCTCTGGGACAAAAGCAGCTGCATGAATGCTAAAGATTTAAAAAAAAAAAAAAAAAAAAAAAGTAAAACCATCAACAAAAGCCTGGCCCCTATTATGTTTACAAATACAAGCGCAGCAGTTTAGAGGCCATTTATGGTTAATGATCTCAGAAATTTCAGTATTTTGGAATTTGGAATTTCAGTATTTTTGAATGGTCTTTTCCGGAAAAGCGATTTTCTTAATTTACCTGTAAAGTCGTTCTGGAAATTTTCTGGAAATTTACCAGTATCACTGTGTGAATGGGGCTAATAGCTACTGGTTTCCAGCTTTCTCCTAAACATTTTCTTCAACAAAATAAAAAATAATGCAAACAGGTTATTAAAATGATTTAAAATACAGAGAAGCATGTTTAATACTTCTTTACTGTGTTAAGACGAAAATAAATTGCTCTTAATTGTAACACAAGTTATTTAATCAACATTTAAAAATACTTTTGCAACAGTATATATTTCCCTGATGTATGACTGCACAAAACCCCTCTAGAGTCTAATGAAAGATTTAATAAATGCAAGGATCTTCAACCGGTTTGTTGTCTGACTATTGATGCCAGCATTTGATTATTTAATGAAAAGTGTGGTGGAATGAAACAGTTTGAGCAGATATTTCTGAAAAGCAATCAGATATGACATG